ATCAATTGCTCAGAAGTAAGTTCAGTTTGAAGTTGAAGGAAATTAAAACATGACCTTGAGTCTATCCCACGTTCATTTTGAGAACATCTCAATAACAGATTTGATATATTAAACACTAATGACAAAATACCTGGCAAGCTGTGGAAGGACATCAAGAACATCATTCATGAAGAAAGCAAAAAAGTTCAGTATGAACACAGTGGAGCCAGGTGATGTAGCTGGGCTGCTAGCCACAGGTTAGTAGTTCAAAACCACCAACAGCTCCCCAGGAGAAAGATAAGACTGACTACTCCTGTAAAGATTAATAGCAGCGGTTCTCAATCTGTGGGTCGTGACCCCTTGGGGGGGGGTGTCAAACAACCCTTTCACAGGGGTTGCCCAATTCATAACAGTAGCAAAATTACAGTTAAGAAGTCTCAATGAAAATAATTTTATGGTGGGGGAGTCACCACAACATGAGGAACTGAAAGGGTCACGGCAACAGAAAGGTTGAGGACCACTGATTTAAAGTCTTAGAAACCCACAAAGGCAGTTCTCCTCCGTACTATAAGGTCACTGTGAGTCAGAATCAAGTTAATGGCAGTGAGTTTGGTTTTTGAATTATGAACACATTGCTTATTTCGGTTTTTCTTTTAAAAAAGAACCTCTCTATTCATGGCAATGACAACCGAGTAACAGTGACTGCCACACCTGTTAACAGAAGGATTTCAAGTAATAAATGCAGAAGGAATGACAAAATTATCATTATACTTCCTTAATAACAAAACTCTGCTACACTTCATCTCGCCCCAAGACTTCTCTAAGGTTGGCTTTAAATGTCATTTCTCAGTTAAAGAAGCCAGAGCTCTTTGGAGAAATTACTTATTTCAGGTCTGGGACAAAAAGTTTATAGGATGAAATTATTTTCCAATAAAACTGTTGGGGGTGGGGGAAGGAAAAAAAGAAGTACTTAAGATGAACGTTGTACCAGAGAAGAAGGAAGCTACTGAGGTGATACCAGAAGGGCAAAGATGCCACCTTTAAGGGGCTCTCCATACCCAAAGACAGCTTGAGAATCCAAGGGACAAATGCTGCCGTGAAGCAAAGCAGGTTGTTTCCAAAGGACCAGCTTATTCTGAAAACTATGAAAAGAAAAGACTTCTTCGTCTTGCTTTCTCCATATGAATAGTTGATGAGGGAAATTTTTAAAAGAACTAGAACTGATAAATGGATACAGAATTATATAGCCACTATTTTACAACCCTTAATGAAATGATGGGTCAAATAAATGTTAAAATCAAGTGAAAGGTTGATGAAGAGCTTTATAATGGATGGGTCAGCCTGACAAAACCTGAACCCATTGATCATGTTTAATATAAGTACAAGAAATCTACTTTAAACATACCCATACAAGTTAAAAGGATAAAAATGTACACCAGTCTAACAAATTTTTTTAATGTTGTAATGACTAACAGATTCAAAGTAGAGCTATTGCCAGGCATAAAGTCATTTCTTAATAAGAGTTGATTCACCAAAAGGGCATTGTAATCCTAAATGTTTATGTGCATGATAAAGCTTCAGAAAATATCAAGTGAAAACCGATAGCTCTGCAATGAGAAATAGGCAAAGACATTGTCAGATGTCATTTACCCTCAATGATTGAAAGAATAAGTAGACAGAAAATCAATCAGAAAAGGAACAATAAAGTCAACTAATTTTACTTGATTGGCCTTTATTGAATACTTATCCTAGCAAAAGCAGAATATGTGACGGAGTACTCCTCCCAAAAAAATAGAATTTTTTTTTCAAAGCTATGTATTTAAATTTTTTTACAAAACAATTTTATCATCTTCAAATTACTCGTCCTTACACTTAATATATTTGTCAAATCTGCGATTCCATTCAGCCCTATGGGTTTAAACAAATGTATACTGCCATATGACTACTGTTTTGTTCTTATTGTTAGGTCCTATTATTCAGTTGGTTTCAATTCATAGGAACCCTTTGTACAAACTGAACAAAACACTTCCCAGTCCTGTACCATTCTTAAAATTGTTGTTTGCTACAAAATTTAAATAGGTGCCCTAATAGCATAGTGGTTACTCACTGAGCTGCTAATTACAAGGTCAGCAGTTCAAAGCCACCAGCCATTTTATAGAAGAAAGATGGATCTTCTCCCACGTAGAGTTACAGTCTCAGAGACTAAAGAACGGGGCAGTTCTACCCTGTCCTACAGGTTCACTATGAGTCACTTGATGGCAATGAGTTTGGTTTTTAGTTTCTACTTTACCAAATATTATGTCCTTTTCCAGGGACTGATCTCTCCTAATAACATGTCCAAAGTATATAAGATGAAGTACTGCCATCCTTGCTTCTAAGGAGAATTCTGGCTGTACTTACTTCTTCCAAGATACATCTGTTAGGAATCCATGGTACTTCCAATAGTCTTCACAAGCACTATAATTCACATGTATATGAGGCAATTGAAATACCATTGTTTGAGTCAGCTGCACCTCAACCCTCAAAGTGTCCACAGAAACTCCGATGTATAGAAGAGAAACTTTTTATATAAAGGGTAAGTGTACATTCAGAAAGCATCCCAACCCTGTCCAGTCCAAGCCCATAAGTCCAACTTAGCCCCTATGTCCGACACCAATCTACAAAGTCCTCCTCAAACACAAAACACACAATGACACTGAATGCAGGAGGATCACAGGCCAGTGGGTAGAAAGTCATGGAATCCAGTGGTAGTGTAAGCATCTCAGTTCTGGCAGGGGTCTCCACGCGGCTTCTCCAGCTCCCAGGGCTACATCAGGGTAAGTCCGTGTGGCTTCTCCTTAGGGATGTCTCGCAGGAAGTGACTTTGCCATTTGAGACAGAGAACTAGCTAAGGCAGCTGCACACTGGTCCAACCATGAGAGAGCAAGAGACAAGAGAACTAGAAAGATGAGGCTCACCGAGCCACATTGTATCCACAGTGACTGTGTACCGCTTTGCATTCCCACCAACAATGAGTGAGAGTTTCTATTGCTTTTCGTCTTGACCAGCATTTGGTGTTGCTAGATAAAATCTACTCTGTATTTTGGATCTTAATCATTCTAACGTGTAGTATTTCATTGTTGCCTTAATTTGCGATTCAGTAAAACAATTGTGAAGATGGTGCTGGACTGGGCAGTGTTTTATTTTGTTTAATTGTGCGTTGGTTTGCTATGAGTCAGAACTGGCGTGCTGGCCTCTAACAACAGTGAGAAGTGATATTTAGCTTCTAGTATATGTTTGTTTGCTATTTGTATATACTGTTTAGTGAGGTTTCTGCTCCATTTTTCCCCACTCTAAATCGGGGGTTTCATCCTGTTGTTCGTGGAGTTGCTATGAGTTAGAACCAAGTTCATGGCAACTGAAAACACACAGCAATATATAATGCCCCTGGGAATGCAAATAGCAAAATTGTTCGGTTTATCCTGAAAAACGTCCTTTTGTCATGAGGATAGTGTGCCAGACCCCCAGCCCCTTTCCTTGATGGCACCTGACAGCAGCCTTACTCCCTCAGCGTGGTTTCTGCGTTTCCGCACAGGCGAGAGTCTGACACTTGGGGAAGCCTTAGTTTCTACTAATTGTCCCAGTGTAATTATTAATAGTGCTCTCTTTGGCCCACAAAACTCCCATATTTCAACAATAAATTATGTACTCACTGTAGTTATACCAGAAAGAAGGGGAAAAAAGTCAATTCTGACTTTTAGCCACCCTATAGGGCAGAGTAGAACTGGCCCTGTGGGTTTCCAAGACGACACATTTTTACGGGAGTAGAAAGTGTCATCTTTCTCCCATGTAGCTATAGGTGGCTTGGAACTGCTGACCTTGAGGTTAGCACACCAACATGTAACCCACTACGCCGCCAGGGCCCCTGCCCTAGTTGTGCTGAATTATATTTCCTTCACATACCTGTAGTTCACACCTATTTTCTTTACTAAGTCTATTCCCTTGTTCTGAGTTCCCCTCCCATCCCCATGCTATTCCTCCCCTCATACCAACTCACTCATGTCCCCATGCCTTAGCTCAGGCGTCATTCCCTCAAAGCGTTCCCTGACATTACGTCTCAGCTCCTCAGCCTGCCATAGGTCGTCTTTGTGCTGCCACACCAGGAGATGAGCAATGTTTACCCTGTTTCCCAGTTCTGCTGACAGAGCCACTCTGTCTACTTCATCTCTGGGTCCTTGGTGTCTAGTGCAGTGCTGGAAAAATGGTGGGTACATTCAGCATATAACAAGTATCTGGCTTAACCTTACTCTTAGATAAAATGAGCCTAACTCAGAGTGAACAGGAAGTACACCTTCCTAAGATCACATAGGCTGCAGTAGTGGCAAAACCACCACCACCACACCCCTTCCGATGATGTGAGAAGCAATTTTTTTTTCAAATACTGCAAAAGCTTCCTGCTGTACTTTTTTAAAACTCATTTTATTGGAGGCTCTTACAGCTCTTATCACAATACATACATATTGTGTCAAGCACATTTGTGCATATGTTGGCATCATCCTTCTCAAAACATTTTCTTTCTACTTGAGCCCTTGGTATCCACTCATTTTGCCTCCTGCTCCCATGAGAAGCAATTTAAAGAAGTACCAGAGACGTCCTTTTTACTTAGAAAGTCTCTGTATCTGTAGTGAGCATCTTTGGAGCAAAGCCACTTTGGGAAAGTTGTTAGAAGGGTACAAGAAGTCGATTTTGTTAATGATGTAATATTTCAGATGTTTGTAAAATACAAAATGCATTACTGATTATGATATCTGGCTTTTTTATTACATACATTTTAATTATTCATCCAGAATACTGATAGGTGGGATAAACTGCCAGCTTTTCTATTTTATTTATTTATTTTTTTTTTTGCTTTAAAAAATATCTTATGTGGTATGACATGGAGAGTGATAATAGAGACTTTAAGTACACATTTAATTATTTAAAAATAAGCATCATTCAGAGATCTTTCATTTAATGTGGGTTTTTCTTTGCAATTTTCATAGCGTCGTCTTGGAGATGCGGCCAAGAAAGCCATCAGCAAATTGACAACCAGGACCGTGAGAAAGGGTGATAAGGTACAGTAGTGAAAGAGCTGCAACACTGCAGAAATAATGAAGTATTTCATTTGGGTTCCAGTGGGAGAGTACCCTCATCTGTATTTCATTCATTACGTTAATCTTGTTCTCCAAATGTGCTGGATAGTGCTTTATTTTAAATGAGCTTCTCTTAAAATCTTATCTTAGTGCCCTCATCATTTAGAAGCCCACCATATAATTCTCTAACTTTTCTCGACTGTGAACACTCTTGCTATCAGCACCCCTGGACTGTGCACAGTTGCCCTGGCTTTGTTTTTCTGAGAGTTTTTCTACTAAACTCTCACTTACATTTCAGAAGAATTCTAATGGGACAGTTTGAACATTAAACAGCTTGGAAATGTGCATGCTCTCCATATATATATGCCTTGTGACTTTGCTGTATCACCTTTTGATTTCTTACCAGTAAAATGGAGATCCAGAAACCCACCTCTCAAAGGCATTTCGATTAACAAAGTGCTCTCTTTACAATGGTTAAACAGTTTGGAAAAACTTCCTAGTTGTCAGGGTTAGACCTGATGGTTTAGGGTGACCGAATCAGGGTGTCAGTGACAGGGGCTATGGCTGAGACCTTGAACCAAAATTCTCCAGTCAAATCTCAAATTATGGTAGAGCAACTTACTGTTAGACCCACATTTGATAGACTCAAGGTCACCTAGATTGGAAAAATTTCTTTACATCTTTAAAGACAGAAAAGCAAAGATAGACCTGTATGCTGAACAGGTGAAAACAAAACCAGAAACACCTCTGCTTCTCCCTCAGCTCAAATATTTTAGCAGAGAAGAGCTCTCGAAAAATAATTTGAAGTGATTCTTCATCTCCTAAGTTTTACTACATTCTGGACTGGACCCATTTTTATTCTCATTGCCTTAACATTACCATATATAGTTTTCCTTACACGGCTGTAGAAGATGAGGACACTGTCAGTGAAGTACATTGTTCACTAGGGAAGGAAGAAGGTAAAAACACTTGGAGAAAATACAAGCAGCATCAAAACCCCTCTGCCTTGTCACCCCAAGAGGAGTGGTAACCTACAGAGGGACTTTCTTGCCTTTCAAAACGCTTCCCCATCTTCTGGTCTGGTGACCTCCTGATGATACATTAATATGAATTTCCCTAGGGTCTCTGTGGGATTGCTATGAGTCAGAACTGACTACAATGGCTATGAATTTGAGTGTAACCTTACGCCCCTTACTCTGTCCACCAGACCAGCGGAAAACAACACTTTTTCTCAATCAAATCAACACATCTTCCTGGTTTGTACCTTAACCTGCCCAGTGTTGCCTTGCTGAGTTTGGGTCTAAATGGCAATGACATAGCAAAGAATCTTACCTTTCCTGGCTTAGGTTCCTGGTGTTGCTTCAGACAGCTCAGACAGAGCCCCTCCTCAGCCTTGAGGAAGGAGGAAATCAATTAAGCCAGATTAACAAACACATGGCTGACAGTTGCTATTATGAAGGCCCATCCCTATAGACTTGATTCTTGATACCTAGCTTCCATTCTTGATATGGGTCTCTAGATAGCAATCGACTGGGGACTCTCTTTTCTGCCTGTACTTCACTGTGTGTAGGCCATACCATGAAGGCTGTTCAGAGCAAAAGCATATCATTAATGGGATGAGAAAAACAAAGTGCCTGAATGGCAATGGCTTCATGAATAGGTGGCATGGAAGAGCTATCTCACCAACCAAAAAAGTCGTCGTCCTATTAAAACTCTAGAATAATTACAAGCACTTTGCCCACAGCAGTGTTTCATTGGGCCCCATTCACTGTGTGACATTTTCCCTAAGTACAGGCTTACTGTCCCCGTTTTTAGCAAAAAGTTCTCCAGGGGAGTTTTTTTTTAAATCATTTTATTGGGGGTTCATACAACTTTTTTAAAAATCATTTTATTGGGGGCTCATACAATTTTTTAAAATCATTTTATTGGGGGCTTGTACAACTCTTATCACAATCCATACATACATCCATTGTGTGAAGCACATTTGTACATTTGTTGCCATCATCATTCTTAAAACATTTGCTTTCTACTTGAGCCCTTGGTATCAGCTCCTCATTTCCCCCCTCCACCCCCACCTCCACCTCCCCATGAACCCTTGATAATTTATAAATTATTATTATTTTGTCATGTCTTAACACTATCTTATATCTCCCTTTACCCACTTTTCTGTTGTCTGTGGGGTTATATGTAGATCCTTGTATTCGGTTCCCACTTTCTACCCCTCCTTCCTTCCACCCTCCCGGTATCACCACTCTCAGCACTGGTCCTGAAGGGTCCATCTGTCCTGTATTCCTTGTGTTTCCAGTTCCTATCTGTACCGTGTACATCCTCTGGTCCAGCTGGATTTATAAGATAGAATTGGGATCATGATAGTGGGGGGCGGCGTACCAAGCATTAAAGAACTAGAGGAAAGTTGTTATGTTTCATTGCTGCTACACTGTTGCCATCGATTTTTGATCACTTGTTGTTCCCTTGTCCCTGGGGTTGTTAACACCCACGTCCTTCCCCCCCACCCCCACCTCCTCTCCCATGTCCCCATTGGAACCATCGGTCCCGTTGTTTTCTGCTCCAGATTGTTTTCTGCTCCAGATTGTTTATCCCATCTATCTTATCTAGATAGACCTGCAGAGATAATAATATGCACAAAAAACAAGACAGAGCAAAACAGAGCAACAAAAGAAAACAAACGATAACAACAACCCAAAAAAATGGACAAAAAAAAAGAAAAGCCTGTGAATAGTTCAAGGTGTGGCCCCACATCTATTTCTGGTATTACCCAGGGACTTCATTGCTCTGCTCCCCTTGCTGTTCTGTTACACACCCTTAGTGTTTCGCCTCAGTGTGGTGGGGTCAGATTGAGCACAATTCCCACACTGTGTCTCCAGTGTTGCCCCCGTAGCCCTATGGGTCAGTGAGGGATGTCATGTCTCATACCGGGGCCGGCCCTATGGTCCTCTCTGTGCATTGGCTGCTCTACGTAGGTAATATCATCCTCAGGGCTTGGTGGGCCAAGATGTGCTCCACTCTCTCTCCCTCCCCCTTCGTTTGCTCCCGTGTGCTCTGATCATACATGTCCCTCTCCCTGAGCTGTAGCTTCAGTGCTGTCCTCTGAAGTGAATTATTCTGTGGGGAGGGAGGCTGTCCATGTAGTTGGGATTAGGGCCGATCCCTCAGACCTCTCTACTGGTTCCCTGCTTCATGCCAGTATATTATATTCATGTCCTGGAGCATGGGGTTGAAGTCTGGTCCCTCTTTCCCTGTGGAGATATAAATAATACCCTCCCTTTGGGTGGGTTAGTGACGGGGGAAACTTTCGAAGAGAGATCTGTTTGGTGACCATACTCAATAAGTTTCATCACATGGCCCCAGCCATTCCCAATGTGTTTTCTTCATATATAACAGCACTAACTCCCCTGTATTCCTGGTATTCATGTTGACTGAGCGCCTATTATATGGAAAGGGATTCATTACCTGTTCAGCTATGATATCTTACACATCGTGTCCTTAATCCACATAACAGCCTTCAGAAGTAGTAGTATACCCATGTTGAACAAAAGACTCCAACAAGAGTATAACCGTGAAGAAGTGTTGGCATCTGGATTGGGGTTTTTTTCTCTCCAGGCATGCCTCAGAGCTCTCATGGGTTCAGTTATAGCACAAGAAAGCGAGTCATGCGATATGTTTGTTTCCCGGTCATATAAAAGCTATCCTGACCTTATACTGGAGCTAATGAAAAGGTGTGAAATACGAGAATGACGGAAATGTGACACAGAAACACAAAGTAAGCACTTGATGTTGGGAAGATGGTACCTATAGCTTTGAGTCAGATTCGACACAGTGGCAGTGAGATAGACTTGCTCAGTGTGGGATTGCAGTTTTTTCAGGGGACTTTTGTAAACTAATATGAAATAATTGCCACTATTAAAATTATAAAGAACCCTGGAGGTGTAGTGGGTTACATGTTGGGCTGCTAACTGCAAGGCCAGCAGTTTGAAACCACCGCTACTTCTATAAAGAGTTACAGTATCAGAAACCCACGGGGGCAGTGCTACCCTGTTCTATAGGGTCACTATGAGTTGGAATCAACTTGATGGCAGTGCATTTTTTTAATTTAAAATTAAGCATTTTGGAATCCCTGCCTGTGCCTCATGTTGCCATGCAAGGTGACCAAATGTCATTCTCCCAGATAATCAGCAAAGTTGGCAGAGTATGGATAGATATTTTACTCCTTTCTCTCTGGTCAGTAGTACTTAGAAATGAAATAACCTATTTAATTGGACTCACTTTTCCAGTTAGTATTACTAAAAACTACTTCCTATAAAGCAGAGTTATTTTTCTGATCGTCCCATTCCTGAGCCTTCTCCTTTTCTCTGGTGCCAGATTTCCTCGGCTCTGCTCCCAGGAATTCCATCCTTGAGCCTGCACTCTTCTCTCTGCATCCCACCTTCAGTCAGTCTTTCGAGGGGACGTGCTGGGCATTTCTTCAGTGTCACCCCACACTCAAGATGGTCAAAACCCAGCTCAGCATCTTTTCCCCAGGTCACCCTCACTGACTAGGCTTTTCTGTCACTCTCAAAACTCACCCACAACACTTGATGTTTGCATCTCTTCCCTTGACTGTAGTTGATTATCAAATCTGTCTTCTCCAAAGAACTGCCACTTCCATCCTAGCCTTTCTGTTGCCTCCTGCCACTCTTCTGGTCCCAGACATCACTTTACCCTTAAAGCTTCCACCCAGCATCCCTGCAGGCATCCTCATCTGCTTATCGTGGTCAGGTCAGGGTCCTGAGGCACCGCCTTTATCATATCATTCCTCAAATACTTGGGCACCATTCCTGCAACAAAGCAGCTAGCCTATTGACTCTTCAGTTATTATGCTGCACCATCCCTCTCCCCTCCTATCCCTCCTCTCCCTGCCCCCTTAGACCCAGCTTATTTTCTTCTCTTCAGCCATTCAGGGTGCCTTCTCTAATTCTCAGCCACAGCACCCTTCACAGTCTGAGCCTCTTGATAAGGCCCCTTAACAACAGCCTGTCTGTGTTACCCAGTAGTGCGACCTGTGTCTCATCTCCCTAGTTCTGAGGACTTAACAGGAAGTTCAGTGAAATGGTGTGTGAATAGCTTGGCCGTGTAATTTAATATTACTGTGACGATGTAGATCTAGCCCCGTGGCAATATTACAAGCTTGTTTTTCATACATAAAATAAAATGATATTCCAAAAAAGCAGAATAAGAAAGCTTTGGGTAACTACCATAAAAGGATTTGTTAATGATAGACCTTAGGCTAGGGCTATTCCGGGAATAAAGCAAATTATAACATGGTGGTGAATAGTTGAAAAATGTATAAAAGTTGAAATGACTAACATATAGTTTTAATGGCTGAGATGTTCTACCAGGTCACAGGGTGGTGTTTAGCCAGGATGATGATTATTGCTGATTTAGATCTTGAAAAAATGTAGAAATCTGACTTGTTCTAAGACATTTCTTAAGCAGAATAAATATTGTCACAACCAGCATAGTTTAAAAATGAAATAAATTAAATGTTATAACTTGGGTCACTGTATTGTTAACCATTGATAATTTATTAGATTTTTAATAAATTATAGTCACTTGCTTACAGTAATTGCCCCAGAAAATTCTTAGCTGAATTGTATCTTCTCTGCATCCTGTGTTTTTCTTTTCAGGAAACAGACCCTGACTTTGATCACTGTGCAGTCTGCATAGAGAGTTACAAGCAGAATGATGTTGTCCGGATTCTCCCCTGCAAGTATGTGGACCTTACTTGTTCCAACAAGAATAACTGCAAATGTGGCTTGCATGTCTCCTGTGCAGAAAAGCCACTCTGAGTGGGTATTCAGTCTGGGGCCTGGTACGTGTTGTTGACTTGGGAGATGGTAGTTAGCAATTACAGTGCTGCCTGAAGACTGGATTTCACAAGCCTTTGGTAGTTATGGGAAATGCATGTGCCAACTCCAGGCTCATCTGTGACATAAGAACATTAACATTGAGAAGTTTTACTTGTAACTTTTGTGGGCTTCAAAAACAGCACTTATTCATCCCCATCTTCAACCAGAATATATCACTAGGCCCTCCAATAAAACCTCAGCAGCATTGAGTGGGTATAAGAATTCTAGGGATTTGGATGAAGTCTTTTTCTGAGCTGGGATTATGCCAAGATGGGAGGATTTATTTCCTGTGTGCCTGCTCAAGGTCAGGATACTCTGCGTCACTTGCGTTTGCTCTAAGCTTCTTAGCCCTAAGTGGGAATTTTTATCCCCACTGTACTGTAAAGGATCATGGAGCCAGTAGTCATTTCCCAGTCACACCGTTCAGAAATGGCAGAGCTGGTTTCCACCCTGGCTTGCCTTCCTGTCAGGGCTCCTTATGTCAGGGCTCCTGTCAGGGCCACACACTTCCTTTCAAGAGAGCTAGGGCCTATACTTTGGTTCTCATAAGAGAACGTGTTTGCTTCATAAATATGAGGATTTCCAGCAATCTCTAGGGAATGGAATATTAGGTCTGTGAAACTGAGTGTCAATTGAAAAAGTAAGAAATTGCCTGCTGAGAAACCTAAAGTCAAAGATATTTCTTCTCCTCTCCTCTTTAAAAATCACCCACAAGAACTCAGGTCTGATAAAACATGTATGTCAAGTGTTGAAATAACTGTTAGTAACCATCTCCAAGAGGCTCCTGGTATGATTTGCTCACCAAGTAATTTATTTTGCGCCAAAGATTTGTCTTTGTATAAAAATCATGGAACCTAAGAATAATGCTATATACTAAAATAGAAAGATTAAGCTTCTGAAAGTCAATTCATTCTGGTGTATATTCAAATGAAAATGTTTGATACTAAAAGCATGCTGTCCTAAAGAAAAGTCTACTGTATAATGACCAATTCATAATCACCTTTTGTCATTCGCAGTCTAAAAGCACAACACCTAAGGGAAATGTAGCTCCAGATACAATCAGGAAAACAATTGGATATATTATTAAGCATAACCAGATCCTACTTGCTTTTAAAAAATATCTTTATCTCTACAGATTTCTTTTGATGCTGTAATGGCCAGGGAGAAGTCACATATTTCCATAATCTTTCTCTACCTATCTCAGTCTACACGTCCTCTGAACTAGCTGGAATTTAGGAACAGATCCCTTAAATCTCGTCCTCATATGAGCCTTAGCTGAAAATTGCTTCTAGGAAGTTTGCTTTCTATTCTCTTCACTTTTCCAAGGTTTCATTCTTAGTTTCCAAACCTGACTCTGTATCAGAATCAGAAGGCAGGTTTTCAAAAACACATCCTGGTTGAGAACAGACTTTTAAAAACTAGTTTTCTTGGTATTTAATTCATATATCATATAATTCAGTAGTTTGATCACCATATCAATTTTAGATCATTTTCCTCTTTCTCATTATCCTCATTGCGCCCCCTCTTCCCCCCAGCCTCCCATGCCAGGCCCCTAGGTAATAATCAAGTTACTTTCTCTACAGAGTTACCTGTCCTGAATTTCATGTTCATAAAATCATACAAAGCAACAACAATGACAAAACAGGGGAAAACTTCAATAGAAAAGAAAGCAGAAAATGTTAAAAACCAAAACAAATTAAAAATGGGTCAAAAGGGAGATCAAATGATAAGGTGTTACATTTAAGCCCAACTACATCTGCCATAATCAACTTTACAACGTTCTTTGTCTGGTAACAAGATTGTTCACATCCCAGGACTATGATCAGAGGAGTTTCTCTGCAATCCTTGGATCACACAGGCTGTTGAGCTTCTTCTGTGTGACTTAGATGGTTGCTTGTTTGAAGACAAGCCTTTAAGACCTCAGACACTATTCTTTCTGATATTCCTGCACCATCTGATTTCTTCACTACACTTTGCTATCGCACCCCATATGTTCAGTGATCTCTTTATGAGAGTGGGTATTGAGTAGGTAACTTTCATAAAAATGAATTGTTCTTAGATTAGGACTTTAATTAAGTGAGCCCCAAATCTATTCATATATCTATAGTTTATATATGTCTTTGGTTTACTTTAGAAACATCATTATTATTTTACTAGAGAGCATTATAAATCATCCCCATGAGCATAAGATAATTCTATTGGTGGTGTCATTAATTTAGCCAATGGTATAGAATTTAAAACATGAGAATAGACTTTTTTTTTCTTTTTTTTGAGAATAGACATTTTTACTTTTAATAAGTGCCTGTGTGGTCTGATTACGGCAAAGCCATGTCCTTTTTTGAGATATAGTGCTTTGGTTGATCTCTTCCTTTTCCATGTCTCTTCCAGAGCAGTGGTTCTCAACCTTTTATGAAATGATGGCAGGGGTGGTTTCAGATGTGGTACAAACTAACTGTACACATTGTGCAACATTTTGACAACTTGATCTAGATCAGTTTCTCAGTCTCAGCACTATTGACATTCTTTGTTAGGGAGCTGACCTATATTACAGGATATTTATCAATATACCCAGTAATACCAGGTGCTTCACTACCTCCAGCCCTAGTTGCGGCAACTAGAAATGACTCCAGACATTGCCAAGATAACCCTGGGGCTAAAATCCAGTTGAGAATCACGGACCTATTGGAGGTCTCACATATTATCATCTTGCTCTAATATTCTTTGAACCTTGCTTCCAAATGATGCTTCTCAGGGACCTTTGAATGAGTTATTATTTTATTGCTTCTGCTTATACTTTATACTATTCTATTCTGTACTATACTTATACTGTTCGTTCCTTCTGCCTACTGTCTTCCTTTTTGTCCCTGTGGTCTTTGAAACTGAGTTAGACATTGCCCCTGCCGATTCTTTCTTTATCTCACATTGCTGAGCGACTTGGTATCTCACTCTGCTCCCCCACAGGATGCTGGAGAGACACAAAGATGGTGCTCTAGCCAATAGGCTCCACCGCAGCTGGGCCTTGAGTGTCCAGAAAAACCCTTCCCTCAGCCTCAGCTGGCTCTCTCCATTATAACAGCAGCACTTTCAGACATACTCATGTTCCCTGAACACCTGAGCTCTCCATCACCTTCACAGAGAACATTAGAGCTACCGTATATACGTGTGGTTAAGCCGAGTTTTTTAGCACATTTTTTTATGCAGTTTTTGTGGTAAAATTAGGTGCCTCGGCTGATAACCGGGCCGCCTTATAATCGAGTGTATATGGTATTCCTTCAACTTCTTGACCACAAGCCTTCAGGAATGTGTGCCTCTGCACCAATCCTCCTTTGGCCTGAAGCTGCTCTCTCTACCTGGGCCTCTCTGTGCCAATTCTCTCCCCACCTCAGGGACCTTGCTGTATCGACTTTCTGCTCCCTTCTCTAGCTTTAATTCTTCTGTCTACTCCTCAGCATTTAATCATGTTCAGGCAGATGCTATCCCAATTTCTAAACTCTCTTTCAAAGTTGTCACCCTCCAAAATCACACTAGAGCCTGTGCCCTTAAGTTGGACTTGTAAAAGGATCAGCACTCCCTGGCTCGTCTTCACCCCAGTAATGGGAGAAGAAAAGCCCAGATACCTTTGTGTATACTTGTCTTTAATTTTTAACAAGCCTGTCTGGAGAGGAAGCAAACCTCTTGTGTGTGAAGATATCAAGCCTCTCCTGGATTGCTGACTTTTGTTGCATGACCTTTACTTTTCCTCTGCTGTCACAGTAATGTGTTGTGGACAGATGGCAGTTGGCATTGCTTTGGGGACCTCCTACTTGTGTGAGTTGAGTATGGTTGGTCATCCTTTGGATGCTCGCCAACATGTCTCAGAAAAGAAAAAACCATCACCTTATTTAGACCTATTTTATTTAAACATCAGCCACAATTTTTTTTTAGTTAAAAATACTTTCTCGGGATTGGAGAGCTTGAATAAACTTAAGTCTTGTTGCCACTATAGAAGCTAAAATGGGTCAGTCAGCTGGCTGGCTGAAGAGTTACTGGGAAGGTGCCCCCGCCCCAGAGGGAGAGCCTGATTTAAACAGTGTCTGCCACCAGCTCAGGCCAGAGGATCTCTGTATGCCAGAATCTTTCTTACAGGAATTGGGTTTTTGGTCCAAGCTCTAATACCTTGTGGTCTATCCATTTCACTGTTGCTCAATGTATCACCTGCTTTCCGACACTAGTAGACCACCCAGCCCTAATATGGTGGACCATTTTCCACTGTGATGTGGATTTTCACTGAGTCTGTTTCATTATAACAGTGGAAAGGGGTTTACCCACGTGCCCTTTTTTGGTAAGACCAGGTACATAGGTGCTGGAATGTCTTGAAGCCTGAAGTACAGTGGAAGAGTTGTAACCATTTATTGGGGTATCATGAAATGATTTTGCTCCTCTGCCTGAGGATATATGTTGTCATACCTTCCATTTGCACAGCCCCTGGTACTGTGCTCAGTAAGTACCCCATATACAGTTTTTCATTGACTGCTCCAAACTCACCCTTCTCCACTATCCCCTGCTCCCTACAGGTTTTCAGATGAGACAGTTAGGGATCCGAAAGGATGGTTTGTGGAGTCCGACAGTGGTAGTGGCAGAGCTTTGCCTACTAGTCAGGGAACTGTGTTGAGTTTGGTGAAGCACTGAGGAGACAGAAGCAGGAGGGTTAAGAGAATGGGTGGTGACAAAAAGGAGGCTACAGTGCAGGGCAGATTTTATCAAAGTTGACCTCAGTGATAGGAAAAAGCGTGCCGGGCTATAGTACAGAGAGAAATTGCTCAGTATTGGTTTCAGAAGACAGAAGTGTGCTGTAGGAATTGGAGAGTCAGCATACCTGGGCCAGTTGGGTGCACTGGAACTAAGCTGTCTGGGAATCTGGGCTGTGCATAGGAAGGAGGGAGGAAAGGAAAAGAGGGGCAGCAAATACCAGTGTTTTGCCAAGAGGATATGAGTGGGAGAATAAGAAAATAACTGGGGTAGCTGGATAGTCAGAATGAGAAATGTGCTTGTTTGTTTGTTTAAGAGAGCAAAACTTTCTTCCAGATTTTGGTTTGCCTAAGGAAGGGAGTGGAGTCCTGTTGGCATAGTGGGGTACATGTTAAGTTGCTAACTGCAAGGTCAGCAGTGAGAACACAGTGGCAGCTCCATGGAAGAAAGAAAAGGCCTTCTGCCCACAAAGATTTACAGCCTCAGGAAGGCCAAGGGGAAGTTCTGCTCTGTCTTGCAGGGTCACTAGGAGTCAGAACTGACTCCGTAGCAGTTGGTGTGCTGTGGTGTGCTGTGTTCCATGACATGGTAAGGAAAGGAGGCTTTTCGGTTGTTCTTAGAGAGCCAGTTAGTCTTTGTTATCTTTCATTACAATATCCCATAGCTTGCAGAAGACATTGTACTTACTTAGGAAAACAAGTGGGAGGGGTACTTTTCTTAATAAACTTTTTTTCAATAGACCTTTTTTTTTCTTTTTCCAATAAACCTTCAGGGGGCAAATTATTCAAGAACTTCAATCCTTAGGGGTTTAAATAAATGCTTTCAGGCATGGTGAAGGTCTGGCTAACTGCATTATCTACAAGCATAAGACCAAAGTTATTCAGACTTCCTTATATTACCCAAAAGTCATATAAGCCACCAGGTGGTAATAGGTAGGTAGGTAGATAAAGTAATGTTTAGGCTGAAGCCATAAACACAATGCTAATAAACCCCAATTAAAATGGTGAGTTTTCTAGACCACTTACTTTTTAATTAAAAACTAATTTTTAAATCAAAAGCATTATATACCAACATTAAGTTATAAATCAACAAACAACATTTGAAGGCATGCCATAGTTCAATTTGGTATCTTTCCCAACATTTCTTTAGTTTATCTTATCTTAAAGCTCAAATTATAGCATTCCTTTCAAAGACCTTCTGAGTGCTTGTCCTGTTACCTGCCTTTTCCCAGTTGGCCAGGACACTAGGACTTCCACATGGCTTCATTTCAGCCGGGGCTGCTTGTAGTTGAGGGATCACTTCTGCAGCTCCCCCAAAGTCTTTTTTCCTTAAAAAGAAAACAAGTTTCTTTGAGGGGGATGCAAAGCCTCCTCCTGTGTTTGACTTATTGCCAGTCACAAGGAGGTGACTTTTGCTCTCCTGAACAAGAGTAAAACACCTACCCTCCCTCCTACCATCCTGACTGAAAACTGCTGGCTAAGTGCTCTTTGGTTCTTTAAGTACAGTGCAACCCTAAAAATAGTTCAGCTACTCTGTAACTTTAACAATTAACATGTGTTGCTTAGAAGTTCCTTTGTTTGTTTTTATGAAGTAGTTTTTAAAAATAATACCTTATGTGACTTTTAAGGAGGGTTCCATGAAATAATGTATATTAATGATAATTCAGAGAATTCTTTATTCAGTAGTTTAATATCTTTATGAAATTTCATTTCTCTGCTTTAGCTATTATAGAAAACATAGCTGAACCTTAGGTATGATTCATGATCTCCATTCTTAAGAAATTTCCTATATTTTCTCATGTCCATTTCGAAATCTGGTGAAATAAAAAGTCCAAACATCCAAATCTTATCAGTTCTCCATAGACCACGGTATAGATGCATAATACTGGGTTCAGGAGATTGTATGCAAGTTGTGTTTTAAGAAACCCTAATATTTCTCTCTTGAGACTTGCTGATAAGTCCTAAAAGAGAAAAGACACTAGTAGATTTTTCAGTATATAATTTATGATATAATTTTCCATTATTTTTCAGGCATGTTTTCCACAAATTCTGTGTGGACCCCTGGCTTAGTGAACATTGTACCTGTCCTATGTGCAAGCTCAATATTTTGAAGGCCCTGGGAATTGTGGTATGTTTCCTACTTGGTTACTACTATTGTGTCATATCATATGTACTATTGTGTCATATCATATCCAAGTGTGACATAGTACTACATGACACAGTTGTCATACAAAGGCGCATGTTCAACAAGAAAGAAAGCTACTTTCTCACAAGGAAGCACAACAGTGCCTTTCTTCTAGATTATTTGACACCTAATCCATCTGAGGGAACTCTTGGAAAAGACTATCAATAGCTAAACTAGTCCATATTTATAAGTATGTGTCTGTTGAGTGGTGGTATATAATAAAGAACTAAGAGAAAAGATCATGATTTTTCTTTATTGCAGTATCTTTTAAGAAAAAAAGGAAAAGATAAGTTAAAGACTTAACTTACTGTCCAGCAGCAATTTTTCCTGCATTCAGCGTAATATGAAACTCAGAGTTTGGCCTCGGCCTGACATGTTAGAAAGTTGTGAAGAGTGAAGGTGGGCAGTTACTGAAGGCCTGGGGAGAACCTTGGACTGCCTAGCAGGTGCTTTAGCCAGGTGTGCTGCATCTGGTACTTCAGATTTCATAGATATGAAATCTATGCTGACTCATCAGAGACCCAGAAGACAGTCTGCATTGGCTTGTTTAAGAGAAATAGACATGAGGGCTTCAAATTGCTTATGGGAAAATGGAATTAAGTGGTGATGGAATTTTTCCACGAACTTTTTCAGGCCTCTGCATAGGCCCAGGGTTACTGCATTTCAGAGGAAAATAAAATACTCTCTGGCCTCAAAAAAATGAATGAATAATGTCTTTATGGAACAGAAAGTTGAGTTTGACCAACCAGAAGAACTCATTATTTGCAGCCCAAAGACACTCTGAACGGTTTGATTTGAAATGCAACACTAGAAGACAGGTTAGGTGCCACCCTGGCAGGCAATGATGCCTGTCTCCTGAAACTGAGATGTTCCGCATCAGTGAAGTTTTACATGAACACAGTTTCTAATTTGGACCAGGTGATTTCTTGGAGGGCAAGGGCCATTGTATGCTGTCTAGCAGCTTCCCTGTCCTCTATCATTAAATACAGTAACATAAGACTGCAATCATGAGCATCGAAAATGTTTCCAGACATTGCTAATGTCCTTGGGGAAAAGTCCCCTCCAGTTGAGACTGTTTTAACATAGAGCATTTGCCATAATGCTTGGTATATAAAGACACTTGAAAGATACCTAGCCTTTCTCACTGCCTCCGACCTTATTTGTTTTGTGTTGTTTGTAAGGATTAATACTCATCCCCACTGTCCCTGTGTTTAATAGAAATTATTCTAAAATATATTACAAGCTACCACTAAATATAATACACATCACACTGTAAGAGCCCCCAATAAAATGATTTTTAATACACATAATAAACCTTATGTAACTGAACATCAGTATGTTATTGTTATTGGTGCTATCAAATCAGTTTTGACTCATAGTGACCCAATGTGACAGTAAAATTGCCCCCACAGGATTTTCTACAACAGCTCCTCGGGACAAAGACTGGGCTTTCTACTTCCGTAAGCAGTCACAGTCTCAGAAACCCACAGGGGTCAGTGTGAGGCAGCATCGATTCATGACAGAGAGCCTTACAATCTATCTTTGTGAAGCAGATCACCAGGCTTCCTCTACTGGGTGGGTTTGAACCACGGTTCTTCCTTTCCGTTAATAGCCTGGTGCTTCAATCATTGTGCTACCAAAGTCCCGTGCTGCCAATTACACCGTGCTGTAATTTTATTTGATAGGGCTCTGGGGTGAAGTAGAGCAGAATTCTGTGCCAGTGGACCTCCAGCCATTGGTTTGGATTTGGTTGACTTGTCAATTCTCTGTATGAAGCCTCCTCACAGCCAGTGTTCTCATCTCTGCTCCTAATATGCTATCCACACGAAGCCAAGAGAACTAAAGTTTACTGGAGAACCCCATTCCCATATTGTCCAATGAGGCATTTATGCCTTTATTTTATTGATAGGCTTCAGCACCAAATCTTTCAGCATTCGGTGCTTAGGTTTTGAGAGAGACTTGTTTTCTTCCGGTTCAAAGGTCTTTTGATTTTGATCTACTCTCTACAAAAGCTGTGGCCAATATTCTCAGTTCTTCAATGGATTCAATAATGTGCTTTAACTATTTAAAGATAGAAGATATTTTAAACTGATTACTAGATAAATGGAGCATGATGGGGAGGATAATAGGATGAAAGTAGTACCCTGTTAACCTGATATCCCTCAACCTTAATATAAGAGCCAGAGAAACAACATTTGCTGTTGGTTTGTTGGTTTGTTTTAATCAAGTGGTTGTCATTTAACAAAGGTGTCTGTGAGTGGTACAAACCACTCAGTGCTGCACTACAAACCAACGATGGCTTGGTTAAACCTACCCTCAGAAGTAAGGTCTGGAGATCTGCTTCCAAAAGGCAGCAGCCTTGAAAAGCCTTCGGAGCTGTTCAGTTCTACACACGTGGGTTGACCATGAGTTGGAAACCACTAGGTAGCGGTTACTCCCTGGCCTTCCTCTGCCAGGAGCTGTGTCTGCACAAGACTGTCATTTCTTTATAAAGACGCAGTGGCCTTCATCCTCAGTTCTGCAGTGGATTTGGGTTTGGCTTTTATGTTTCTTGAGAGGAGATAGTTTATTCTTTTTATAGGAAAACTTTTAGATAGATGGAAAGGGTGGATTGGATAAGAAATGAGAGAAAGCCTTATTTTAAAAGTTGGGTTTTTTTTTTAAAAGAGAAAAGCTTGGTTGTTTTCATTAGTGTGTCTGACACTTAGAATTTTGTAAAACAACTTTTTACTCTTACAGTTATTTTTAATATGGAAATGTTTTGCAGCCAAATTTGCCCTGTACTGATAACGTAGCATTTGATATGGAAAGGCTCACCAGAACACAAGCAGTTAACCGAAGATCAGCCCTCGGTGACCTGGCCAGTGATAACTCCCTTGGCCTGGAGCCACTGCGAACTTCGGGGATGTCACCCCTTCCTCAGGATGGGGAACTTACTCCTAGAACGGGAGAAATCAACATTGCAGTAACAAGTAAGTGGGGCCCTTTCCCCAGGGACAGGCCGGCTGAGTGCCTTGTGTTTGGCTTGTGGTGACTGCTTTGCAACCAAGCTGGGACCTTCGCCTGTGCCGGCACATCAGTGTGTAACCAAGAAAGTGACATGTGCTTATGTTAAAACAGATGTGTGGAACAATAACTATTACATTAAGGAGCTGACGTGTTTGCGTGTCATTATTAGTAATAACTATCATTGGATGAATAGTGTTCAAAGATTTGCTTTAGTAGCTGTTGCATAAATGGTTGCATTGCAAACAGGTATTTCAAAAAGCAGTTTCGGAATGTTATGGAAGCCATCCGTCTTGTCAGCAGCATCCCTGGTGTGATTGTAAGTGTGAGCACTACTGCTTTGTATTTACTAAGCGGCAGACCATCTCATAAAACGCCAATCCAGAATCGGAACCTAAACATTGCAAGAAAACTCACAATTTTAGAAAAAGTTGAGATGGTCTTTTTATGGAAGTTGCTTTAATGTTAGTCTCTTAACACTTAACTCATTGGTATAGTTGTAACACAAGACAGAAAGAAAGTTAAAAGTCAACAACAACAAAAAGTCTGGGCTGCTTATAAACAAAACACTGGCATGTTTTGATAATGATGTCTGAAGACTGTATGAGTGGTCTGACCGGCGTGTGTATGTGCGGTGTAGACATCCATCCTTCACAAGCCAGCTCTTCTCTCTGGTTCCATTCTTTCTGTGTTGTTCTCATCTAACAGCCGTCCATCCATCTTCTGTCTTGCCCCTCTGGTGCTGCCTTTTTCAGTATATGCTGTTGCTTGCGTAGAGCTTCAACCCGAACCTGATGGAAATCTGCTTAACTCTGGAAAAGTGGGTAAATCGATTACAAAATGTTTTTCGCTTCACATATTTAGACTGCATGTATTTTGTGGCCTATTCGGTAAAAGATACATTTTCTTTTTTTTTTCATGATTAAAAAAAATTTTTTGTTGTTGTTTTACTTTATTTATTTATTTATTTTCTTGAACATTTTATTGGGAGTCATTTTCTTTTTTTTAACCAACCATAAATGATTATTTAAAAATTACTTTCCCTGGTTTATTTTGTCATTTATTTAAACTGGGAGAGCCTTCATTCAATTTTGAAATAAGTAAAACAATTCTTTGATATCATTTGACTCATCGGTTACCATTTCCCAGAGATTCATTTTCTTTTTCCTACTTTGGTATTTCGATTTTGTAGTCTAGAATTTTAAAAATCGGTCTTAGTAGTAATAAAGGGAACTAGGAGTCAAATGCTGGTTTTCTTCATGAATTTTTGGAAGTCCTTCATTGATCAGACATTTATTGAGCACCTACTACTAAATGAAGTACTGATCCCTATTAAATTTTATGTAAGAATATCCTGACAAAGCCTTGTTTGGATGATTTAAAAAATACTACTTTATATACCAAATTAATTACCTTTAACAGAGTTTATGCATGGTGTTAGTGGGAGGAGGGGGTCATGTGATTAAATTAGGCAAAAATCACCTCTATTTTTCCCTCCAAAGTTCTGTAGCGCCTTAGCAATTAGGCTGCATTCACTCAGCACCAGCTGTGTGCGAGGCACTGTGCTAACTCAGCACTGAAGAGGGCAGAAACCTTGGAGACCCTGGTGCAGTGGGTTGCTGCCAAAATAACCTGAAGGCCCATGAGGCATTGCTATGATAGTGTCTCCTTCTTGATTACTAGCTTTTATAACTGGAATGCCACACAAATATGGCTGGTATATTCAGAATAAGGAAATAAAGATATAACTGAAAGTCTACAAGTTAGTCTTTACCATGTACAAAAGCCTCGTAAGAAGAAACAGTGCTACATTCAGCTCCTTGTTGGTTGAAAAGGTATATAGATTCTCGTATGTTTTTATCTTGCTTGAAATAAAAACAGTAAAAGTGTAATCTACTGGTGAAGAATTTGTCATTCAAGAAACAGAACTTTATCTGTCATCTGAAAGGAAAGGTTTTTGTGCTAAATAGTTCAGTAACATAAAACAAAGTGGAAAGAGAAATGCTATAAAACCCAGTCAACATCCTAAAATCCCTTAGGGCAGTTCTTAAGCTTCTGATGGTTTTAAAAAACTACTGAAAGTATATTAACTTTTCTACAGAAAAATGCCTGTGCACACATAATTTTGCATATAATTTTAGAGTTTGTGGACTACAGATTCAATGTTAAATGCAGCTTTTATTATATAAACAATTGATACTCCACGTGTAACTATTTCCTCCTCTTTATGTGCAGATACACGGTGAATTTTACTATATAGTACGTCTTTTTCTAGGAAGACACATTGGTTCACAAGTTGCTTTTGAGATTCCCAATTAATATTCTCTATAGAATGTTAGTTTGACAATAGTGGCTTTTAAAAATTAAGGAGCAATATTAACTAACTAGAGAGAAACTAGAGAAAAATCCTTAGCATACACAAAAGGTTTTCCGCCCTTTGGTGCACCAGGTGCCTCCTATATCGCCTACCCTCCCCACTTCAGGACCAAGCCAGAAAAGCCATTGCTGCTTCCCAGGAATGTGGTGTGAAAGGCACAGTCTTTCATCTCCTGAGGTATCGGTGAGAAGTCCTTTTTATGAAACTGTTAAAAGATAATCCATGCCTACAAGGGAAAAAAAATGTAGACATGAATGCCATGGAAGGACCACTTGCAACTGCTTGAAGTACCCACAAGACCTCTGATAACACCACTCGGGTTCTTCAAAGATTTTATCTAGGAATGAGTACTACGACCACGCGGAAGTGACAAATGAAGAAGGAAATGAGGTTATAAGCATGGCTGGTTCACTTTACTGCCATTAAATTAACAATAACGAAAAATACATACATCCATGTGCAATTTCCGATACACGTTTTACTCTACACTTTTTTGGTGGTGGCTACCCTCCTGACAAGCCTCAGGACGTTAACCGGAAGAAATGACTGGGCCATGCTTTCCTTTCTCCCTTACAGCTTTCGCCACTACTTTCTCTAACCTTCTCCAGTTTAGTAACTCTCTGGAAATTCTCTGCTTCTCTTCCTTGGGCTAGTCTTGGCTCACACCTCCGTTGACGTCTGCTTTGTTGCATTTGAGGGAATTGTTGACGTCGATTTGACTTAAGCCTTCTCCCCAGAATGATTTCCTCCCTTTCCTTTGTCAACAGAAGAATGGTTTATTATTGCCAGTTTTGGCCTCCTCAGTGCTCTCACACTCTGCTACATGATCATCAGAGCTACAGCTAGCTTGAATGCTAATGAGTAAGTAACAAATTATTGAGTTTGTTCTTTGGATTGCATGTGCCAGATGATCCCCAAATTAATATGTATTTTTTCACAAAGGTGGTAAAATTGGCTTTCCACCAGTTTCAAACTGATCCTCATGGGATCATACCTAGCAAAATAATGTATTTCATTAGTCTGTTTTTAGTCAGCATCGCAGGCCAGGAGTTCACCTGGCTCCACCACACCTCACTTGAGAGAAGATGTAAAGGTGTTCATTAGCCGCAAACCTGGAGTGAACCTGCAATGCAATACAAATGCTGAGGGAACCAGTACAGTCATACAGTATAAAGAATGTCAATGTCCTGGTCATTTGAAAGGAAGCTGGCGCTCTGCCGCGTGCTCTTTAGCCCTACCTGGGGTCTAGTGTGTTGACCCCAGGGTGGAGCACTGGCACCTTGGCCGTGCTCCAGGAACAGTGACTTTTGATTTTAGACTGCAAGACAGAAACAGTAGGGAAGCCCTGGTGCTTCCCGACATTGGGGAAAAGAGAATCGGGTGTAGACTCCATCTCCTAAGGACAAAATGAGGACCAGAGCGAAGAGTGCAGGATTGTAGGCAGATGTCACCTGAATAAAAGGAGGAGCATCGGGCCGCCGGGCAGTGGGTTGAGAATGGAAATGTGCAGGCCTGGGAGTGCAGAAGCCTGTGTAACTTGTCAGGCTACTCTAGTTTAGATGCGCTTGGAGATTTGAAATTGGACTAGATGACTTATAAGGTCCACCGTATTCCAGGGGCTTTCCAGAAGCTTACACTTTCACTTTGCACATGGGATCAAATGTAGGGAGGATTTACTTTTGTTTGTTTGTTCTTGAATTTAGGGCATCTACTGTAGACCATTATTCAATCCTTTCTTTTACCAGTATTTGTGGAAACTAGATAAAAAAGCAACTCTGGGGCATTGCCCATAATTGAATCTAAACTGGTACAGGTGAAATTCATAGGCCCTTTATATTGCATTAGGTTCTGGCACTTTAATTGATTAATAATGGCTAAACAACCTGTGTAATTCATTTAATTGGATACCTATTGTCCAACTTAGAAACAAAGAGCGAAAAACAATAGGCCACTTCCAAAAGCATTGGCTAGCTCCTTGTAAGAGGTGTTCTTTGACATCCCTGGCCCATTACAGGTTGGGAAAATGACCAGTTCAGATGAGTAGTCATGGCCTCAGATAACAGGTCAAATTTAACTACACAGGTTCTAGAGTCAGACCTGTGTAGAAGCCTAAGTTCTTTGCTTTATTATGTGAAGTTATATTTATGTGAAGCTCATTGTATTCATCCATAAGACAGGGATAATTTTAGGACTGTATCATAGGGTTATTGTGATGATTCCCATAAAAGGGACTTAGCACAGTGCCTGGTACATAATGAGTGCTCAATAAATGTTAGCCAAAGCAATCCCTCTGGGATTCTGTTAAAGTTCTATGAGTAATATGGCCATCTGTCTTTTTCAGTGGCAAATGAATGTAATTTCTTCCATGAAATAGGATACTGAACCGTAGGAGCTCAGCAAGTGCTTGTGATTCAGACCTCAATTCAGAGGGAAATATTTACCCACAACCCCCCCTTTTGCTTATTCCTGTGCTAACCCGTTAAATTAGACGATGGCATAGCTCACTTCTTTAAAATTTCATAACTGAAGGATACGAATAACCATGAATAGCAGCATTCTGGGCACTTTCAGGAGATTATGAAGTAATTCACTGGCAGTCTGCCTGCTGCTCAGAATCTGCCCTCTGCTCAGCTTGTATGTGAGGTACTTTACAGAACACTCAATAGATAAGTTAACTGTTAGAAAAATCAAAATACCTGAGCCATAATATTTCAGTTCCATGCCTAAATGCTTTCATGACTTGGAATCTAAGTCATGGATCTTAGATCCCTATCTTAGTCCAATCTTCTCTCATCAACCTTTGGAGAAGGTTGATAGTGAGTGGTATTGTGCCTTTGAATATTGTTTTTGCGCCTTCACTCAAAACCACTAAGAAGGACAATATTCATGAGAGAGAAATGGAGTCATAAAGAGAAAGAAAATGTGTGTGTGTGTCTGTGTGTGCTCACATGCATGTGAGCGAAAGAATCATTGAACTATTCATGCTCATTATCTTAAATTGGTGCAATGTGATAATATATGTGCTTTTGTGTGTTTTTTATTTAATAAGCATGAATTACTTTATTAAAAGCTGTTGTATTACAGAGGAGAAAAGATAATAGCCATACTTAGTGTTGCTTTCCTAGAAATATTGCTGGAAAGTTCCTACATGGTTTTCATTTTAGGGAAAGCTTTATTTTTGCAAATAAATGTATAATCATTTCTTTAATACATTCTGTGAAATCGGTTTTATTTCCCTTTTTGGGGTTTATCTACCAAGAGACTTACTACCAAAATGAGGTCCCTTCATTTTTCATTTTAACTGCTCTGCTTGAATTTTGTAGATAGTTTCATTTACTTTTAAGAGAGTCATGTATAAATAGACCCCATCTTTTGGCCTTTTATTGATGTGTCTGTAAATTGGTACTGAGCGCCCCCTCTATGGTAGACCGCTTTAGTGTACTTTTCTAGCAGTGTTACTAGACACTGTTTCAGTGAGATCTTGAACCCATTCTAGTTGCTCATGAAGTCCCATGGACAAGATGAGGCAGTAGGAGCCAGAAGTCAAGGCAAGCAGGTGGAGCACTAGTGGCTCTGGCCCTCCTCCTGCCATGGACAGGGCTTCAGCAGGTTGCAAAGCCATGCCCTCACCCTTACCATACTCCACACATTTATCAGAAGGCTGTCAAAATTCCATCTGTTTGGCATGTTTACCTCCTGTTTTCATGAAACACTATCTAAGTATCCACTCTGTGTTTACATTTTTTTTAATACTTCAAATGCATCTGGTGAATTTTGAAGCTTTTCAGATGTAAATAGGATGGTAGTCAAAGAGACAACTAAATATAAGTAATTATATCTATGTATTAGCCTCTCACACCTCTTTTTCTTGGTCCCTATTCAAATGTTGTGTTCACAACCTTCATCAGCTATGTTTGCAGCAATCTTTTTAAGTCAGTATAAGAAAAGTAGATGTTTTCATTGGTCTTTGAGAAACAAATTACTACTTAGTTTTAAATTGAGGAACCAATTGCAAGATCTGCATAGTTTATAGTTCTGTGAGAGAGTCTACTAGGTATCTTTTTATCAGCGCCTACATTCTGGTTCATAGAAAACATGCCCTGATATTTGCCAAGGAGTATAGTTCAGACACTCAAGATTCAAAGCTATCTTGACAGGAGAAAATGAGTCGGATACGGTCAGCATCCTGAAATAGGAAACAGATGGAAAATCCTCTAACATAAAAGCCATGATCCAAAATACTTTCCTCTGCAGCACATCAGTGAGCTTGAGTTGTGCTCACTAGTAGTTCTTGTGAGCTGCCCTCCTATTAGGTATGTTAGCAGAATGTAGAGACTCACTGCTATCAACTCTATTCCAACTCATAGCCACGCTAGAGGACAGAGTAAAGCTACCCCTGTGGATTTCTGAGGCTATAAATCTTTTGGCAGCAGAAAGCCCTGTCTTTCTCCCTCGGACTGCTTGTAAGGCTTAATCTTACAGTTAGCAACCCAACAAGTAACTTACCACTCCAGACTTAACCAAAACCAAGCTCACAGCCACTGAGTTGATGCCAAGTCATAGCAACCTTATAGGAGGGGTAGAATTGCCCCTGAGGGTTTCTGAGTCTGTAGCTCTTTTTTTTTTTTAATTAATTAATTTATTTTTATCATTTTATTAGGGGTTCATACAACTCTTATCACAATCCATACATACATCAATTGTGTAAAGCGCATTTGTACATTCATTGGCCTCATCATTCTCAAAACATTTCCTCTCCACTTAAGCCCCCGGCATTAGGTCCTCATTTTTCCCCTCCCTCCCCTCTCCTCCCTCCCTCATGAGCCCTAGTCTGTAGCTCTTTACAGGAATAGGGAGTCCCATCTTCTTCCCATGGAGTGGCTGGCAGTTTTGAACTAGGAACCATGAAGATTGCAGCCCGGTGTGTAACCAGTGGGTTGCCAGGATTCCATTACTCCAGACTAGACAAAAGAAATTGATCCTTCAATGTACTCTGCTGAGGATGTCTGAATTGTTCTGTTTGAAGCACTTTTTAAGAATACTATTAGATGAGCACATTTCAATATATAAGAAGACTGGACATGTTGTCATTTGATATCATAGGGATGCTTAGTTTAGAAAAGAGGAAACATGGGTAATATGAGAGGTGTCTCCAGTTGAAGGTCATGCAAAGATGAGAATACCAGCTGCAGTCAAGTCACTTCTAACTCATGGAAACCCTATGTGAGTCAGCATAGAACTGAACTTATTCCAAAAGGTTTTCAATGGCTGGGGTTTGGGTTTTTGTTTTTTATTTTAACCAGGACTTTCTTCCAAGGCAGTTATGGGTGGCCTTGACCCTCCAATCTTTCAGTTAGTAACAGCCGTTTGCACCACCCAGTAACTCCAGAGACATGAGTCATTACCAAATCCCCTGTCAATTCTGACACACAGTTACTATTTATTTGAGTGCTTACAAAGAGCTGCTCCTATTTGCTTTTTGTTTGCTTTTGTTTTAACCAAGAGCCTCCGACTGTATTGTACTCTATCCATATTGCTCCATTTAATACACATATTACACATATGTTGAGTAACCAGTGAGTACAGAAGGGTGATAATTCTCTAGAGTTTTGAAGACAGCCACAGAGAGGTAAAGCTCCATTTAATATAGGAACATTGTGCCTATAAGGATATGACACGGGACACTTTGAAAACTAGTGTACTTGCCAAAAAAAAAAACCCTTCAAACTCGCTGCCATTGACTCAGTTCCAACTCATAGCAACCCTATAGGACAGGAGAGAACTGCCCCTGTGGGCTTCTGAGGCGGTCACTCTGCGGTAGTAGAAAGCCTTGTCTTTTTCTTGCTGACAGACTGGTGATTTTGAACTTCGGACCTTGTGGCTAGCAGCCCAGCAGGAATGCCAGCAGGGCCCCTTAGTGTGCATGCCAGGGCCTAGTTATTCCAACAGATGCTACTGGGCTGTCTCTCATTGAGGGCTGTTTCAGAGGCACTTCCTGAGTTAGGTGCACATCTCTCTCACTCATTCGTTCCAGTTCTGTGAGTCCCAGTCGAATCATCTGTTCCAATGACCCCTCTGTATAAGAAATCAGAGCCTGAAGAGAAGGATAGAATTTGCTTCCTACTCCCCACTTAGAATGCTTACGTGTCAAAAGCAATGCTTTTCAGAATCTTTTCCCCCTCAACTGTCTCCTACTACAAGAAATGTATTACATTGTAACCCAGTACACCACATATATAACAGAAATAGAAATTTTACCAACATTCCCCTTACTACATGCATTTGTCTCTGATAGACTCTAAACTGTGCTTTCGTCCTCCTTGTTAATGCCATCCATGAACTCCTAGCTTCATTTTACAACCCATGGGTTGCAATCTGAAGTTTGAGGAACATTGATCTAAAATATTTATGATTTGTGGTTCTCAGTCTAATACTAGCACCCACCTTTGGTGGATTTTATTTTTATGTGCTGGAGCTTCTTGTAGCAGTTTCAGCAAAGATTTCACCTTACCCATGATCTGAGATGTATATATTGGTGGCTAGTGAATCCTCTTCTTGCTCTAATTTCTCCATTTAGACACTCTGAGTATGAGATATAGCCACAGGAATAAACTGAGGCTCAGCGGGATTGAGGCCCCACGGGATACCATAGGAAGAAGGGCACTGGAACTCAAAGCCATCACACCACATGCCTGTGCTACAAGAAGCCATTTGAGGGCTTCAAATAACATGGTTGGGGAAGACAGCTTTGGCTTTCTAAAACATGATGACAAAAATGGGGCTAGAGGCAACTGGAAACGTTGTTGTTTTTAGGTGCCATCGAGTCAATTCTGACCCCTAGGGCCCTGAGCACAGCAGAAGGAAACACTGCCCAGTCCTCTGCCACCCTCACAATTGTTCCTATGCCTGAGCCCATTGTTGCAGCCAGTGGGAGATTTGGGTTGGATTAATGGAATATGTGTTGTGGTAGTCTCCCCATCCCCCACCCCAGTTTTCAGAAAAACTCACTGCCCTGGAGGCAGCAGCATGCTCGCCTTGCCTATCTGCAGCTCTGGGAAGAGAAATACGGTAGTGATGTGTACTCAGAGTGCGTTTTGGAGGCGGCAGCATGTGTGTGAGGAGTACATGAGAGAGAGAGCAGTATGAGGAATATTAGTGCTCAGTGTCACAGTCAAGGCGACTTCATTTCACCTGGGCAGGTGGAAGGAAGTTTCTTAGAGGAAATGACTTAAGAACCAGGCCTGGCATAAACAAGGGCTAGGTTCAGGGCACTAGCTGTCTAGTTTTGATGTGGTGGCAACAAGGGTGATGGTAGCGGAATTTGGACTTTTTCTGGTAAATAGTCAAAGGCTTCTCAGCAGAAAGGTGATGCCTAGTGGCTGTAAGTTGTTTTGGAGTGGTAGAGACTAGTGACAGGAGCATAGCTAAGAAAACAAGACCACCTTAAACTGGCTTACGCTGGAGGAGGAGGTCAGGGAAGTAGACAGGCAGAGCAGGAGATACTACACAGGTGTAGGATAACCAAAAGTAAGTGCTCAGACAGAGCTCTGGAAAGGGCCAGAGAGAGGAAAGTGCAGAGAAGCAACCAGGTTTCCATTAGAGGGAGAACTAGGGCCCAGGCTGATCCCTAGTACCTGGGTTTGGAACTTCAGAAAGGTTAGCAGTGCCCTGGTGAACAGTAAAGGAAAGTTTCCATAAAACATCAGGCATTTTTAAGCACCTGGGGGAAGAGAGGAAGGCACACATACATACCCTTACTCCCCAAGTCTGGAAATTTCTGTCAAGAGATCCTGGAAGTCTGGCCTTGTCAAATCTTAATTCAAAATAAGTAATGACAGCCTTGTTTGAGGAATGAGAGGGAACATGTTTCAAAGGCAACCGCTACAGGCTTCAGGACCATCCACATGTACATGTATTTAGACTCAGCAAAGTTCTAAGTTGTAAATATAGTTGCCCATTGTATTTTTAGAACCAAGTTGTTCCTTGAACTAGACTTTTCATTCCTTTTAGAAATGCAGGACCAGAGATCACGGAGCCAGTTGACTACAGGTCTGAAACTGCTGATTTTAGGAAGATGCTAATGATTAACTGGTTTTTTAAATGGGGTTGGAAAATAGTGGAGGGACAGCTCCCAGGCCACCTTTGTACTCAAGAGCATATTCTCACTTATTTTTAAATATTGACAAGTACCCTGTGATTTAACTGATTTATGACCTCTGTCTTTTTTCCTTTTACTTCATAGGGTAGAATGGTTTTGAAGAAGAAAAAGGCTGCTTTCTGACTGACTGCCTTGAAGGGAAAAAAAAGAACCTATTTTTGTGCATCATTTACCAATCATGCCACACAAGCGTTTATTTTTAGTACATTTTATTTTTTCATAAAATTGCTAATGCCAAAGCTTTGTATTAAAAGAAATAAATAATAAAATAAAAGCACCGTGCTGTTGGGTATTATTCATCCACTAGTGGTCTCAACGTTGATTTGATGATCGTATTCCCAAATTTACTTGCATGCGTTTCTGAGACAGAGTGAGTTAATGACAGGACCACTGGCACTTTCTGTTGGCCTCCTCACATTGGCTTTGTGCTCAAATGTGGCCCGAGAGTGGAGATGTCCTGTGTGGCAGTGCCCCCTTGAGGCACTCAATGGAGAAACTTTATTTTCTTCAAAGATGCTATTTACTGTCTGATGGTTCTTCGGGTTGTTGTTTTTTTAATCCCATTGCCTGTGGTTGATCTCCCTGTCAGACTCACTCCACAGCAGCAGGACATCTCACTGTGCCCTTTACCACTGTATCCCCTGTACCTAAGAGAGTGCTTTTTGCACATAGTAAGTGCTCAATAAATATTTGTAGAATGAAGGGAGTTTTAAAGTATGCATTGATCAGTAATAAATTACATCTGTACTTGTTTAATTTTTTTAATATAGTTCACTCAGTATTTTTTTACATCAATTTATTGGGGCTCGCTCAGTATTTTTTATAAACAGAAAATTTTAAAAGTCTAGATGGTAATTTTGTTTCTGTAGTGAAATATTTTTACCTAATTGACAAGGAAAATGTTGAACTGTTGTATATTTAGTTGTGTGCTTGAAGGATTAGCAGTATTTGAAAGCATTTTGATCGGTTCATTTTTTAACCTTCCAACGCCTCAGTATACCTGAGGGGATGAGAAAATGTTCCTATTGGTAACAGGTTCATTATGTCAGTCATTCTGAAATTGGAAGAAGGTTGAAGAGATTTTTCTATTTATTGAGATAAAATTCACATACTATAAAATTCACCCTATTAGAATGTACTTTTTAGTGGGTTTTGAGGATATTTGCCACTATCTAATTTCAGAACATTTTTCTCACTACAAATAGAAACTCCATACCATTAACCTCCATACCCATTAATAATAACGCCCCATCTTTTCCCCTACCCTTCAGACGACCCCGTGCCACTGCCCCCTCAGCCTCTAGTCTTAGTGTTGCCTCCCAAGTCCAAAATCTGTGGATCAGGTGACAGGCTGAAGATTTCTGCAGGCCTGTTTCCCAAGATGCATAGATCAGATAACAGAGTGAAAGTAAGGTTTTAAAAAATAAAGTCCAGTATATTGTTTTTTTTATTTTGATTGCTTGGGCTCTAGGTGTCATATCTAAAATAGCATTGCCTAAATTAAGGCTTCCTAATTAAATTTCTAAGAATTGTATAGTTGTAACTCATTTGCTTAGGTCTTTGATCCATTTTGAATTAATATTTGTGCATAATGTGAGGCTTCAATTTCATCCTTTTTCTTGTGGAAATCCAGTTCTACCAGCACCATTTGTTGAAAGGACACTCCTTTCTCCTATTGGATGATGTTGGCACCCTTGTAAAAGATGAACTGGCCATAGTATAGGAGTTTATTTCTAGACTTTCAGTTCTATCCCATTGAACTATATGCCTATCCTTGTGCCAGTACCATACTGTATTGTTTACTATTGCTTTGTAGTGAGTTTTGAAATCAAAAAGTATGAGTCTTCTAACTTGATCTATTTAAATATTGTTTTGGATATTCAGAAACCATTGTATTTCAGAAACCCTATGAATTTTAGAATGAGCTTGTCAATTTCTTTTTTGTGTGTGGAAAAAACTGATTTTTAAATCCTTTGATAGAATTTGTGCTCAATCTATAGATTGCTTTTGATAGTTTTTGCCATCTTAACAATATTGCCTTCCAATCCATAAACATGGGGTGTCTTGTCATTTATTTTATCTCTTTCAATTATACGTTGGTGTTTCCAATGTATACCTTTTTTCCCCTCACAAATACCAAGTGCTTTCTACGTTTGTTTGCCAAGTAATCCCTCTCCATAGAAGGCATTTTCTTAAGTGCCGCTATGCCAGTGTTTTACTAGTACGTTTACAAAATACTTCCCTGGGGAAGGGAGCAATTGGCAAACATATATAGAAGGTGTGTCTTTTTATGTAACAACAAAAAAACTTACAGTATTGTATACCCTTTGTGTTGAATCTATTTCTAAACACTCTTTTTGATACTACTGTAAATTGTTCTCTTAATGTCATTTTCAGATTGTCTTGCTAGTATAGTGAAATATAATAGATTTCTTTATACTGAACTTGTATAATCTTGCGAAACTTGCTTATTAGCTCTAATCAATTTTCAGTGGATTCCTTAGCATTTTCTGCAAGACCATGTCATCTGCAGAGATAATTTTACTAATTTCTTTCCAATCACGATGCTTGTCATAGCTAAGGTTGCTGTAACAGAAATACCACAGGAGGTGGCTTTACTAAGCAAATCTATTCTCTCACAGTTTAAAAGTCTACAAAACCAAACTCTAAGTGCCATCTCCAAGGGAAACTTTTTTCCTCTGACGCCTGCTCTAGGAGGTTCCCAACACAGGGTCCCTGGTTCCAATGGACACACTCTGTTCCCGACTCTTCTTTTCTTGGTAGTAGCAGGGCCTTCTCTTTCTGCTCATTCCCTCTCTCCTTTACAGGGTGAAGTATGATGCAGGAAGCTCCCCTTATTTCAGGCCAGGATTGTGGTCTGATTAGGAGTGTTGCATCTCATCAGAATCCCCTTATGTCAAATCAAAACTGATTATATTATAGGCAATGATAGCATTATTCCACAACTGACATAGTACACCATTATATAATAAGTACCAAACCACTGGGAATCATGATCCAGCCAAGTTCATTTGTGTGTTGGAGGACACCGTTCAATCCATCACAAGGCCTTTTAATTCAATTTCTTGCCTACTTACTACACTGGTTCTTACTACTGGCAGTTCTTTCTGCTTAGAACCTCCGGTAATGCACTACTGAATAGAAGCAGTGAAAGCAGTCATTCTTGTCTTGTTCCTGGCCTTAGGGGAAAAACCTGTAGTCATTCACCACTGAGTGTGAAGTTAGCTGTGATATTTTCATGCATGGGTTTTATAATGTTGAAGAAGTTGCCTTCTATTCTTAGCTTGTTGAATATTTGTATATTAAAACAGAATTTTATGACTTTCTGCATTTATTGAGATGACCTTGTGTGTTTTATTTCACTTTATTATGGGATATTGCATTGATTGTTGTGTGTTGCTAAATATAGTTTGCTATAATTTTGTTGAAGATATTTTCATAGATTATGTATTATTTTCTTGTGATGTCTGGCTGGATATTAAGGTAATTCTGGCCTTGTGGGGTTGAAAAATTCTTAAATGCCCCACAGATTATGAGTTAAGAAATGTTATCCTCTTTTAAACTTTGTTAAGAAGGATTGGTGTTAATTCTTTATGGGCTTGGTAAAATTTACTTTGTGGGAAGAGTTCGACTACTGGCTCAATCTCTTAATTCGTTATAAATCTATTCAGATTTTCTCTTTCTGCTTAAGGCTGTTATGGTAGTTTGTGTGTTTTTTATCTTACCTAGGTTATCTAATATGTTGTCATACAGTGGTTTATTTCTTTTATAATGTAAAAATGTTTCCTCTTTTTTAATTAATCATTTTATTTTGAGTTCTTACAAATACCATAACATTCCATAGTTCAATCACATCAAGCAGTATTGTACAATTACTACCACAAATAGTTTCGAAACATTTTCTTTCTTCTTGAACTCCTTGATATCAGTTCCCCTTTATGCCCTCCCTTCTCCACCCTACCCCCAGGCTATATATGATACATAATAGATATATATATAATCTTACACCATCCATTATATCCATTCACATACAGTTCTGTTGTTTACTCCCCTCCAGTGGGGTTATACAGTTGATATACAGCTGCTATATCTAAGCTGATATAGAGTCATCAGTGCTATCCGCTTCCCCTTCCTCCCCCCACCCCCAACTCCCTCCACTCTTATACCCTCAGGGAACCATTACTCCTATTACTGTTTTTGGCTGGTTATCTATCTTGGTTTTTATGGATCAACCATCTTTAATTATACAAATGAAAATACTCAAATCTAACATGATTGATGAGGTAAAACAAAAACCATAATAGGAAGGGGGAAATATTAAAGAACTCGAGGATAGTTGTGTTTCATCAGTGCTGTACCTCACCCTGGATTTATCAATCCTTTCTGTGTGGCCCTTCTGAATGTCTCCTCTTTTACTCCTGATCTTAGTTATTTGGTTCTTCTTTCTTTCCTGGTCAGTCTAATGAAAGATTTCTCAATTTTGTTTATCGTGATCTTTTCAAAGAACCAGCTTTTTATTTTATTGATTTTATCTTTTTGTCTAATTTCTATTTCGTGTCTGTTCTAATGCTTATTTTCTCCCATTTGCTTTTGGTTTCGTCTGTGCTTCCTACCTTGATATAGGTGGTGACAGTTAGAAACTTCCCTCTCAATATGGCTTTCCAGCAGCCTATAAATTTTGGTGTATTTTGTGTTTTCAGATACATTCATCTTAAAGTATTTTCTAGATTTCCTTGTGGCTTCTTCATTGACCTATTAGTTATTTAGGAGTGTATTGTATTAGTTATTTAGGAGTATATTGTTATAGCCCACATATTTGTGAATTTCCCATATTTGTTTCTGTTACAGTTTTCTAATTTCATTCTATAGGATCGAAAACATGTTTTGTATGATTTCAGCCCTTTAAATTTATTGTTTCTTTGTTGTTCGTTGTTAAGTGCCATTGAGGAAGTTCTGACCCATAGAGACCCTAGCCACACAATACTGTTCAGTCCAGCCCCATCCTCACAACCATTCCTATCCTTGAGCCCATTGTTACAGCCACGGTTATCAGTCCATCTCGTAGAGGGCCTTCCTTTTTTCACCCCCTCTATTTTACCAAGCATGAGATCCTTTCTC